GTTGTGTTACATGTCCCTTTTTTCCCTTTTTTTTTTTTTTTTTTTTTTTTTTGTCTCTCATATATAATTTATACATTGTTTTAAAACTGAGTAATATACACTCCTAAAAAATTTCTTTCACAAACATTATTATTTTAGATCTTTTTCATTGAACTTTAATTTCCAATCTAATTCTATAAAGCCTAACTTTAATCTGTGAAATTTTATAAACTTATGCTATATTTTGGTGTCTATCATTACAAAATGTCATTTATTTTAATTATATTTCAATTAATGTACTACTATTGAAAAGTAAAGTGAATGCCTTATATTTTATTTAAAAAATAGAATGAAGGACATTTTATAAAATTTGAAATTAAAGTAAAAAAAATTATAATAAAGATAGATATTTATCATTATTTTAGACTCTATAAAGTGAATACGAGTAAAGTATGTAATTTTAATAGTCGATGGGAAAATCGTAATGATTGATATTTTAGCATAATTATGTTTTATTATATATGTGCATGTAATATAGACAGTTCATTTTCTTATCAATAAATTAATAATATTATTTATTTTATCATTTCAAATAATTTGCTAACTTTACACGAGTTAAATAGTATAATTTCAGATATGTCGAGGTTAATTTATTCATTTTCAATCATCTCTTTGAATCAGGTTTAAAATTTACTACATTTTTTTGGCTGATGCAACGTATAGTAGCAGATTGGATCTTGATATGAATTAAAAATTGGGACACCAGAAAGTTCAAATATTAATCTAAAGTTGCATTCTAAATCTTATATCAAGAGTAGGCAACTTGTCATAGCCAGCCATTAATGTCATCATCGTTCTCTTTAGGGAGAGCGAATTAAAAATAATTAGTTTAATTCCATATAACAAACTTTTGTGATATGAACGGAATCAAGTCTCATTCTTAGAAAAGTGTGTTGGTCTTTATCTTTCGCTAATGCGCCAAATATTTTACTACCTCACCGTGATATTTAATTTGAGGACATAATAGTGCCAATCTTCAGTAAAGTATGTAAGACATTCAAATTAATGCCCTTTCTTTATAAAAAAAAAAAAAAAAAAAAAGTTACCTCTTAAAAGCATTTGATGAAAAGCAAGACTAGTACGTAGAAAGGAAGGGTCCTACAGTTTTAGTAACAGTACTATAGACTCTCTTATTGCAGCCATATATGTAAGATAGTGTTTTTTACTCGATTTCAAAGATATATTACTAAAACTTAATGTTGAACTAACTGACATGAACTTCAACTGTTACTACTTATTTCTGCTTGAACCTGATTACCATAACTCTATAAATATATGATGAATTCAAGGATCATATGTACAACTCTTAAAATTTCTTTTATTTTAGCAATTCTAATTTGAATTTAATGGTCAATTTTAGTGTAAAAAGTTTAATTTAGATTAATAAAAAATTATTGTTGATTTAACTTTTAATGTACTTATTATAAAAATTAACAAATTTATTATATATTGTGATTTGTGATTGAATGATTGATATGGTATTAATACATAACCTATTTTATCTTCTAATTTTTAGTAAAGTTATGAAAAATCAAGTTTATCATTCTTACTCTTTGATCAAGGTCAACAGTTTCAACTTTATTAATCATACGTAATGTATATTAATGTTTTATGCCGAATAAAATGATTTATATTCCCCATTAAAGTTAATTCTATCTTTTTTCCCTAACAGATCGATCTCTAAAGAGAAATAAATCAAAGTTGGTAGTAAGAGTGTTTGAATTTCTTGCAATCAAGAGTAGTTATAAATGTAACACGGTCTCTCAAAAAAAAAAATGTAGCAGTCATCTCATGAAAATAATTATTCAAATCTTATTAGAAAGTAAAAATGGGTAAATTTCAATTTATTAGTTATGATTTGTTGGAGATCCACAACAAGTGAGATGAACATAATAATGAATACAAGTAGAAAATAATTTTCACCTTACAAATCAATTTCATAAAGTTGAATTATGCTCAAATCCAATTTTTTAAAGATTCATTAGTACTAATCCTAACTATACTTTGTTTTCATACTAATGGCAGATCTCCGATCTTTTAAACTTCATTGATATAAGAAAAATGCATTAAAGATCTTACATTGACTAGTGAGATGACTATAATAATATATATAAAGAAATAATTATTAACTTATAAATTGAATTTACAAGGTTTTATAAGGTTAACTTAGGTTGAAATTTAATTTCTTAATATAGTTCTTCATCATAATATATTTTTCATTTGTGATGTTTTTTTTTTAACTTTGCTAATTGTTGAAATGTAAATATGTAGATCTCTTGGAGTGGTACTTCCTGATTTAAAGTACTTCACAGAAGCATCTGTTGCTGCTTCACGAATATTTGGCATGATTGACAGAATACCATTAATTGATGGTGAAGACACAAAAGGACTTGTGTTAGAACATATTAATGGCAAGCTAGACTTTGAGCATGTGAAATTCACATACCCGTCTCGTCCAGACATGGCTGTGCTCAGTGATTTCAATCTCCAAGTGGAAGCAGGGAAAACGGTTGCTCTAGTTGGTGCAAGTGGGAGTGGCAAGTCCACTGCAATAGCATTGGTGCAAAGATTTTATGATGCAGATGAAGGTGTTGTGAGGGTTGATGGTGTGGACATAAAAAGTCTGCAGTTGAAATGGATGAGAGGAAAAATGGGGCTTGTAAGTCAAGAACATGCAATGTTTGGGACATCCATAAAGGAGAATATTATGTTTGGGAAACCTGATGCTACCATGGATGAAATAGTTGCTGCAGCCTCAGCAGCCAATGCTCATAACTTCATAAGGCAACTTCCTGTTGGTTATGAAACCAAGGTAAATTAGTTTATTATCCAAATAGGGTTTGTGACTCTAGAAGAAAAAAAAAAGAGGCAAATGGATTGAATTTTTTATAAGTTAAAATTAACTTATACAACTTTGTTTTGGAGAAATTAAATGAAAAAAACTTGGATAAAAGTTAAGTGCATTTATAGGAGAAGATCATTTATTTTCTTTTCCTATCACTGTTTGTGGAAAAGTTCGTCTAAATTCTAAACAAAACTTGTGGTTATAAAAGTGATAGAGCTTTGCAACTGGTTAGCTTAATTCCACATACTCAAATTAATAATGTTTGGAACTTTCTGTTTAGATAAATATCTTAATTAGCTCTTAGAAGAAAATAAAAAGTAAATGAGTCAAACTTTTTTTCATAAGTTAAATCAACTTATACACCCTCAGTTTCTGGAGAAGTTAAATGAAAATGTTTCTATAAAAATTAAAGTGCATAAAATTAATTTAATTTACAAGAGAAGTTCAATTTTTTTAAGTATTTATGAAGAAATTAATCCAAACATGATTATCTCATTATTTGTCAGGACTAAGTGTGTGTTTGGATAAGATAAAATGTTATGATTAGAAGATTTTAATAAAGGATAAAAGCTAAGAAATAATTTTAGCACCACCCTTAGATGCTTAATAAGCTACACATAAAAGTTTTGATTCTACATTTTACACCATTAAGAAAATATGCAGCTACTAACCTGATCGAGTGAAACTAGATTGGAGAAAGAGGGGCACTTCTTTCAGGTGGACAGAAGCAAAGAATAGCCATTGCAAGAGCCATCATAAAGAATCCTGTAATTCTCCTACTTGATGAAGCAACTAGTGCTCTTGACTCTGAATCAGAATTACTGGTTCAGAATGCCCTTGATCAAGCTTCCATGGGGAGAACTACATTGGTAAGTGCAATCATCCATTTGATACAAACCAATAACTTAATAAAACTATGCTACTCTATACCTAAACTACTTTAGTTCACTCATCAATTTTATTAAAAGGCAAAAGACATGCTTTCAAATGTTGATATAGTATTATATCAAGCTCTGGTTAGATAAACTCTTCCGTAAGCACTTTTAGAAAAATAAAATAAGAAAAAAATAAAAAAGTTTGTCTGAAAATTAAATTTAGCTTATACATAAGTGATTTGAAAAGCTTTCTCAAATTAGTTTCTTTATTTTTACAACTGATGCATACAGTTTGAACTAATTTTAGCAAATTCAGAAGCTAATATCATTCGTCTTTCTAACTTTTTTTTTTTAAAAGTACTTACGGAAAAGTTTATTGAGACATACCTTTAGTATAATTATCACAATGATTGAGTGAACATTTGACCAAATCTTTTGCACCTCCCTTGTATAACACCTACTGAACTTGATCAGGTTGTTGCTCATAAGCTATCAACAATTCGAAATGCAGACCTCATAGCAGTAGTCAGTGGTGGTCGAATCATTGAAACTGGCACACACAATGAACTCATCAACCGTCCAAATGGCCACTATGCAAAACTGGCAAAACTACAAACACAATTGAGCATGGATGACCAAGATCAAAATCAAGAACTTGGTGCACTTTCTGCAGCAAGAAGCAGTGCAGGTAGACCAAGCACAGCCAGGTCAAGCCCTGCCATATTTCCAAAGTCACCATTGCCTGATGAAACCACCCCAACACAAGTTTCTCGCTCTCCACCTTCTTTCACAAGGCTTCTCTCTCTGAATGCTCCTGAATGGAAACAAGGCCTAATTGGAACCCTCTCAGCCATTGCCTTTGGCTCAGTTCAACCAATATATGCTTTAACCATTGGGGGCATGATTTCTGCTTTTTTTGCTGAAAGCCATCAAGAAATGAGGCACAGAATCAGGACTTATTCTTTCATTTTCTGTTCCCTATCCCTTGCTTCTATGATCCTCAACCTCTTGCAACACTACAATTTTGCTTACATGGGAGCCAAGTTGACTAAAAGGATAAGACTGCGCATGCTGGAGAATATCTTGACCTTTGAAACTGCTTGGTTTGATGAGGAACAAAACTCCAGTGGAGCATTGTGCTCAAGGTTAAGCAATGAGGCTTCCATGGTTAAGTCCCTTGTAGCAGATAGACTCTCTTTGCTAGTTCAAACAACTTCTGCTGTCACCATTGCAATGATCATAGGCCTTGCAGTGGCTTGGAAGCTTGCACTTGTAATGATAGCAGTGCAGCCACTCACAATCCTTTGCTTTTACACAAGAAAAGTGTTGCTCTCCACACTCTCAACCAAGTTTGTTAAGGCACAGAATCAAAGCACACAAATTGCGGTGGAAGCAGTTTATAATCACAGAATTGTGACCTCATTCGGGAGCATTCCAAAAGTGCTGAGGCTATTTGATGAGGCTCAAGAGGCACCAAGGAAGGAGGCAAGGAAGAAGTCTTGGCTAGCTGGCATAGGAATGGGGTCTGCTCAGTGCCTAACTTTCATGTCATGGGCTTTGGATTTCTGGTATGGTGGAACTTTGGTGGAAAAGAGAGAAATATCAGCTGGGGATGTGTTCAAAACATTTTTTGTGTTGGTGAGCACTGGCAAGGTCATAGCTGAGGCTGGAAGCATGACTTCTGACCTTGCCAAGAGCTCAACAGCAGTGGCATCTGTGTTTGAAATTCTTGACCGGAAATCACTAATTCCCAAGGTATGTATGTAGTTTTATGTTTGAAATTTTTTGTGTTATGTATGCAGAACAAAATTTAGTAATGTTCAAATTCTCCGTTCCCTTATGTTTGTGGTATTCCATTTGCCCATTTGCCCCATTAAACCATGTCTTATGCATTAGAGTCTTGCTATCTAGTATTTATAATTCAGTATTCTTGCATTTGTGAATCGTGATTATACAAGTGGGGCTCCTTTTGAGTTCAAGAGACTATGCACAAATCTTTGTTTATTAAGGGTGTGTTTTGGACACGCGTTACAAATGCCGAAATCACGTCAATTTGGTAAAAAAAAGTGGAAGCTATAACTGATAGCTTCTGTGCAGACACAAAAAACCATGGTATATATATATATGTGTGTGAATATATATAAACAAACAACTGCATATTTGCTAGCAATTTCGGTAATTGTGACGTTATTATAAGCATGACCATAGCAACAATAAGAAACCATTATGGGTGTTTGAATATAATATATACCAGGAAGATCTACAAGAAGAAAATGGTGTGCATGGTCCTCAGTCCATGCAGAATTAGGTACGATCTCTTCGACCAGTGGTTCTGGTGATGATGGGCTTGTTCTTGTTCCAACCCGTCTTGTATTTCTACCTGTCTCGATGGCCATTGAGAATGAGTTAAACCAGCACGTAGCGACCAATATAAACCTCCAAATTCCAACGATGTTTGTGCCACAAATATATTTGACAGCGATTGTGTTGTTTGCACGGTTTATAGAAAAACCTTTGGAAGCTAAATGCACTTTTAGGATTGATTAGACTTCCCTGATATGACGAAATTAGATGGCTTGCTTTCAGTGATTCAACATTCTTATTCCATACTTGTTTTGCAAGACCGTGTAAGGTTGTCGCCTAATTGGGTAGTTTCTGACATGCAAAAGCAATTCCTTGCTTTGCTTATTATAATTGTTAATATTTAATGTTCTATCAAATTCAAGGTTACCTATGAATTCGTATTAGTACCAAGTAAGATTAGTCGATTAAGTATATCCTCTAATTTACATAAAATTGAACATAAGTAGTATTGTTAAATCTTAACTTTTTTCTCGGTGTTACATGACTTTTTTTGCGGACCATTGCATTTACACTAATTTTTCATATATAAACAATTATTAAAAACAACGTACATCTTGTCTTCCTTCTCTTTCTCATGAAAGGAATTAAGGAAGGTATAATGGGTGTATGATAAAGTGACTTGGAAATAACATTGCTGGACACATATTTAACTTATTATTATTAGAACAAGCCATAGTTTTTACTGAAACTTCCTATCTCTTATTGAAAACCTTCTATGAACTATCTTATGAAAAGTTGAATCCATTGTTGAGATTTGTTGGATCCCCTTACTAGAGGTTAGATCAAGTACAATATAGATAGACCTTTTTCTATACGTTCCTTGTTTGCTGCTTGTGGGATTATATTTAGAGACATCTCTATTGATCTTCTAAGGTGTTTTATGGAATCAATTGTGGTCAAGTTAGCCTTTGAAGCAGAACTATTGGCAAACATTCATGTGGTTCAGCTTGCTCGTAATCATGGTCAAATGTCTTCTAATATTATGGAATTTAAACAAGTAAAGGCTTTTATGGTGCATTGCAGGTAATGAAAAGTTGAATCCATTGTTGAGATTTGTTGGATCCCCTTACTAGAGGTTAGATCAAGTACAATATAGGCTTTTAATCTTTGAGATTGGTTCTCTCATATTACTAATCAAAGACTTAGCTTGAGCTATATTCTAGAAATTCTTCAAAAACCATGGTGTAAATTAGAAAATATTGTTCTTTTTGGCAACAATTACCTTCATTATTTCTAAAATTTGGTATAGAAAAAATTAAATAAAATTTAACAATGCATCTATCGACATTAATTTTTTAAAGAATAAGATTTTTTTCTTTAGTAAATTCTTGTTGTTCTTTGTCCTCTTTTACTATGGAATCTAATATTATGGAATTTAAACAAGTAAAGGCTTTTATGGTGCATTGCAGGTAATGAAAAGTTGAATCCATTGTTGAGATTTGTTGGATCCCCTTACTAGAGGTTAGATCAAGTACAATATAGATAGACCTTTTTCTATACGTTCCTTGTTTGCTGCTTGTGGGATTATATTTAGAGACATCTCTATTGATCTTCTAAGGTGTTTTATGGAATCAATTGTGGTCAAGTTAGCCTATCCATTAATCTGCCAGAATAATCTTTGACAGATTCATTATCCTTCATCTTCATCAATTCAAATTCTCTCTTCAATGTGAGAAGTCTAATAGATTTGACTCTGCTACTGCCTTCAAATTCATCTTGAATCTTGTCTCACACCTGTTTAGGTGTTTCCAAATCCATGATTTTAGTAAAAATATGATCTGCAAGTCCTGCATGTAGACAAGTGATGGCTTTATCTTTCTTCAGCTTCTCCTCCTCATAAGCTTTGATTTGTGCAATGGTTGGATTTTCTCTCAATGGTGGTGGATCAGCTTCAGAAATTACAACATTCCATAAGCCTTGAGATCTTAAAACAAATTTCATCTTGACGGCCCAAATATGATAATTTTCACCATTAAACATTGGAATTGCAGGTGTATTGGTGGAAGTAGACATCCTTGCACCAAAAATTGTTTAAACAATAAATCACTCAATTTTGTGTTTGCACTCAACCTCAATGTGTTTAGCGCTCAATAAACTTTTCCTCACAGCCCGTAAGAAGCAAGCTCTGATACCACTTGTTGGAATTCAAGAAGAATTAGAAGGCTTAAACTCATATATTTTATTCATACTTGTAACCTTTTAAATACATAATTGAAAGTTGATACAAATTCTGCTCATAAACATAAAATTAAATGACAAATATAAATACTCATAAAAGTGTTACAGCACCTATAATTCCTATAATTAAAAAATCATAACCGTAGAAATTCTAATAATGCTCCATTAATATGAAATAAACTCAAATAATAGATGCTGATTCAGATTCTCAACAGTATAGACGTGTGACCAAACACACTGTAAGTCCATATATAGAGGGCCAACTATTTAGTAATGCAATGTACAAAAATTACATGCAGTTCCTTGGATGCATTGGTGTTCTTTGCCGATTAAAATTTGAGTATCACCTAACCTATGTTGATCTTTAATGCAAACTTTTGCTATGCAAATTATAATGTGATGCTCTAATTTTAATTCGAAAACAACACTTAAAATGTCTAAGAAATTGAAATCTAAGTTTTTTCCTAATTTGGTGCATAGTCAACATGTCCAGGTTCCTGCAGTCACTATACTATAGTATTAGGGTCAAGAGGAAAAAAGTGGTCAACCAATGATACTATATTTTTATTGTTCAGTAATGTTATCTGCATATCGGGAGTTCACACACATCTCCACATGGATACAATATTATCCATTTTGAACTTAAACATTAATGGATTTAGTTTTGGTCATCACTTAAAAATTTCATACCAATGGATATATTCATATGCTTGTAAACCAACATTCTTTCTCTTATTCTAACAATGTTGTATTTTGTTTGTACTCCAACAAGCTCTGCATCCCTATCATTGACACGTTACTCAACTTTTACCTATGAATTGACATGATTTTTTTTTTTTGGGGTTAGACTGGAGATAACACTAACGGCCTTAAGTTGGAAAAGATGAATGGAAAGATAGAGTTGAAGAATGTTGATTTTGCCTATCCAAGCAGGGCAGGGACCCCAATATTGCGCAAGTTTTGCTTGGAGGTGAAGCCAGGAAAAAGTGTTGGTTTGGTTGGAAAAAGTGGATGTGGAAAATCAACAGTGATTGCCTTAATTCAAAGATTCTATGATGTTGAGAGAGGTTCAGTTAAAGTGGATAATATAGACATAAGGGAATTAGACATTCACTGGTACAGGCAACACACGGCACTGGTTAGCCAAGAACCTGTGATATATTCTGGCAGCATACGTGACAACATTTTGTATGGTAAGCAAGATGCAGCAGAGGACGAAGTAGTTGAGGCTGCAAAAGCTGCCAATGCTCACGAGTTCATATCGTAAGTTTTAACTTCCACTCTCACATGAAAAAATTAAGAACAAAACTTAAATACAGCTCCATAAGTATGATTGATACTGTTCTCAAATCAGAAAACAAAGTTTTACTTCAGTAATATTCTAATTGTAATTAAAAAATAACACCAACACTACCTATGGTATTGTGCTTAAGTTTTATCCAAAAATAATCAACTCAAATTGACTTGGAAAATGGCAACCTGGCATTGTGCTCAATTTCTCATGCATGGCATTCAAGTTTGGCCTCTAATAAGCTTTCATGAATCACTTGATTTTGAAATCAAGAACCAATATCTTTTCAGGACTTCATGCAAGATGTGTTAAAACATAAATTCTCTTTCTTACAGTACAAGTAGAGATCACAAGTTCAATCTCTAATAAGTGTTCTCATTTAGTGTCTGAAAGTGTCTCGAAGAGGATTGTCTTTAAAGGAGGATACACGTGGGGAACAAAATAACTTAATTCAATATGTTTTTGAGCCAAGTTCATGAAAAAACTATCATACAATAAGAACTTATTTAATAAGTACTTAACTATTGTTGAATTAGAAATTGAGTGTGTAGAGTTGCAAGACTAATTATCATTTAAAGAAGTGCATTTTTCTTTTTGGTAATGTAGGTCACTGAAAGATGGATATGAAACTGAATGTGGAGAAAGGGGGGTGCAGCTATCAGGAGGGCAAAAGCAGCGAATAGCAATTGCAAGGGCCATAATTCGCAACCCAAAGATACTACTTCTGGATGAGGCAACAAGTGCCCTAGATGTGCAATCAGAACAAGTTGTGCAAGAAGCACTTGATAGGACTATGGTAGGAAGAACCACCCTTGTTGTGGCACATAGACTTAACACCATCAAAGAGCTTGATTCAATTGCTTATGTGTCAGAGGGCAAGGTCCTTGAGCAAGGAACCTACGCCCAGCTTAGGCACAAGAGAGGTGCATTCTTCAACCTTTCTAGCCATCAAGTCCAAACTTAGGTAATGTAAATTATTATTATTATTATCATGTACAAATTTGAGTAGCATTGTGACTTGTGAGCATGGTTGGTCATTGCTAAAGCCCATCTAAGGTGAAATGGGTTTGAGGCCGTTTTTGGTCCAACCATATATAGATAAAGAGTCACTCCATTAAGGGCCCATATAATATATCCAAATGGGCTGGTTCAAGTGTTGTATAAGGACCCAAGCTCAATATGAAATGTGCTATGCATGTAATCCTAATGCCGAATATAATAAAAACAAACTTTTTGGAAAATTTCTTATTGTAGAATGCTGTAGCTCCTGCATGTTGTTGTTGCTTTGCATTATTTTGACTTTTATTTCTTATTGTACTTTATGTATATGAGTTAATTTGAATTTATGTAAAGTATTAAATAATATTAAAATTTTGTATAAGAATTTTTAATTTTAACGTTTGAATCATTAAAATTTAATATATCTTAAATTATTGAATAAAATAATTCCTTTAAACTTGATTTTCATTTCTCACCCTATATGTATATATAAATATTTATTTTTGAAAATTTAACTTTGACTAGTGATATAAAAAAGTAATGTATGTAAGTAGTAGTTATCTCCTCGTAATTAAGTTTTTTATATTGAATTGGACTTAAAGTCTCAATGATGTATATTATGTTATTGATCATTATTGGATCTATTGACTCATTGTCAAAATTTTCACAAATATATTGTTATGCAAATTTTATCCTTAAGATATTCAATTCTTAGACCAAAATTAAGCTCAAACTCATAATTTAAGAACTTGTTTAAGATAGTTACAAAATTAAATTATTTTAATAATTATTTATTAAAATAACTATTTATCAATTATTGGTATAATCATTGATTATAATTAGAATTAGTTTTTTGTGTAAATTTCCTTAAAAGTAAATTTAAGATAATTGATTTGATTTGAATAAAATGAAAAGTCTACTTTTACATAGTAAATTTCAAAAAAAAAATGTATGTAATTATTTATTTGTATTAATAACATCAATTACATTAAAATGTACTTTTAGTTACAATAATATCAAATTCATAAATTTGGTTTCTCAATTTTTAATTTTATAATTTTAATCCTTCAATTTTATAAAATATACAATTTTGATCCTTCACTATATGTTCATTAATTAATTGTTAAAATTATAATGTTTATCATAACCAAATATTAGTTAAATGAAAAAATAATAATTATTTAATAATATTTTAACTAAATTACACTTTTAATTTGTAGTTTTATCTCATTTTATAACTTTTATTAGATTAAAGAAAAATTAAAAATGAAATTTAGCTTAAATATTAATTGTTATGTTAGGTATTTAAATCTAGATTATGACTAATATTACGATTTTAACGATAAACAGTTAAACATTTGATAGAGTAATGAAATTTACATTTATAAAATTAAGGAACTAAAATTATATAAATAAAAATAAAGAAATTAAAATTACATATTTAATATTATAGGGAACCAAAAATATAATTATCTTATTATTTAAATATTTATTTTCATATTTTGTCATATTTTTTTGTTATTATAAGTTAAATAATAATAATAATAATAATAATAATAATAATAACTTGTGAGATAGAAAAGAAAATATAACTAAAGAGAATTTAGTGACACTTTTTTGAATATTTATTTCTTTCATATTTTGTCATAATTTTTTATATTATAAATTTAAGTAAATATATGATCTTAATATTTTTCGTTTTGATAAGCCAGAGGTTGGTGAATGGTGAGCACTCACATCTTAATATTTGGGACACGTTTTCCCCCACACCTCTCTTTTTTTCTTTTGCTATAAAGAAATCTCTCTTACTCTCTTTTTTTATTCACCTTTGATTCAATCAACACTAACGCATAACATAACAACACACTTTTTTTCTTTTTTTAAATGCATATTATCTCTTTCATAAGCAGTTACGATAACTTGCATACAGATTAATTATTTTAATATTTAATATAAAAAATAATAACTTTTATTATATTATTGTTAACCAAAGTCTATATTTATTTTGCTTGGTGTTTACTAAGCTCTCATAAGGAGGTATATTAAATTGATGATCACTAATAGAAGTCTTTATTAACTTTTTTACTGTTCAATTTCATTAACCACGATTTTTATTATCTTATTATTATTTAGACTATTTTTCTTGGAATGACACTTACATTAAAGAGATCAAGAACATAAGATAAAAAGGCTCAAACATCTTTCATAAGATTAAAGTGATGTACATAAATTATTTTAAGGTTAAAATATGATTTTAATCTCTCTAAAAAATTTAAATTTAGTTTAGTCTTTATAAAAACAATCCTATTTTAATGCTTCTAATTTAAAAATTTACTACTTTTGATCTAAAGTAATTTAAAATTCACTCATGCACCTTCTAACAAACAATGATATGATTAAGAAGTTATTATTAATTATAAATCATCAAGAACGTTCATATTATTACAATGATTTATCGATTTTTGTATCTTATTTTGGGACACAAGAAACACCTACTAAAAAGCAAACTTGGAAATTGAAATACAAATGGTTCATCCAAGTAAATTCTGTTTAGTTTTTAAGTAATATATTATTTAATTTGTCAAATCTTATTTTATACTTTAACTTAAGCGAAGTTAAATACTTATGGATGCAAGTAAATATGTGTAAAATACATATTAATCCTTGATCGTTAATTTTAAAATATTGTATGATATTTTATTTTATTAATTTAAATTGATAAATAATTATAAAAATATTTAATATATTAATTTGAAACAAAATATTATATGATTTTAAAAATTTATAAATTTAATTTATGTATTAACAACTATAATAACTTTATATATATATATATGAATGAATAATATACTATACATGTAAGTTTTTCTTAGATTTTTTCATTCAAACTAGAAAACATCGATCGTTAATATTTTTATTACAATCTCAATAATATATAGATTAAAAATTATTAATATATTTTTCTCCAAAAAATATATTGTTCGCACAATTTAAATCCATTCAAATATTTTCTATATATTTAATTATTAATCATCGCTTAAAATTATTGAAATTTTTAGATCTTTTGTCAATATTGATTACCCATTTATATATGAGATACACTATGCCACAAACATATAATTCTAATATTAAATGTAATACTAACACTGCAAATAACTAATCTATTATTCTTTTTCCTATTTGTTTAAGAAAATAATTTGGCTTTAATTTAGGAGAGGATAGTTTGTTATTGCCTATGCTCAGTTGGGACAAAATCATTATTTGTGCAACTTTGGGTGAGAGTAGTAGGGACTAGAAAGCAAATTAAGTAGAAAAAGAAATATGTGATTATTTCATTTTATTTCAAAGTTAACATATGTCGTTGGATTTAGGAGGTTCAAACGAATAATTACAGAGTAACAAATGCTTTAAATATATTGATTTGTTGGTATAATTAGAAGATTTAATACTCAGTTATTTTACTTAATTTTTTGGTAAAAATATAAAATAATTACAAAAATATCACAATAAGTATCTACTCATTTATTTAACATGGTTTTTAAGGAAAAGTATATTTAGAATCTTATTTTAATGAATTGATAAATTAGTTACAGTCACGTTATTTTTTTGGGTAAAGAATCACAAATTTATTAATTATAGGTTTTATTAATGTATATGTTTAATACTTTTTATCTTAAAATTAAATATTGAAAGTTTGAATAATTAGGTTGAATAAGTAGTTTTTCTTATTCTTTAATTATGTTCTTACTACTCATGTCTCATGTTCACAAACTCTTTTATAATCAACAAAAATTTCAACTATTTTACTTCTTTAAATTAAAGTCTTAGTCTTTATTATATCATCAACAAAAATTTGAATTATTTAATTTTTTTAAATTAAGGTCTTCGACTTAATTTATCAAATTTAGTCAAAATCAATCTAATGTATTGTCTTTATTATTATATCGATAAAATATCTTCTTTTTTGTTACAAAGATGACAAAATGCAAGTAAGTTAAAATTCTACAAGGAAATTAGGAAATAAATATTTTATTTTTATTTAAAAATCTATATTTTTTTCTCTTTCTATTTTATTACTCTTCCATCTCTATTATTTCTAAACTCTCGTCTTTATTATATTGATCAAAATACTTTTTTTTTGTTACAAATTAAACGTGGGACAATTAAAATCCAACTAACTTAAAATTCTACAAGGAAATTAGGAAATAAGTTATTTTATTTTTATTAAAAATTATATAATACTTTTTATAATATATTTCTCTCTCGCTATTTTACTACACTTGTCTCTCTTATCTTTTTTATTTCTATATATTATAGATAATATAATAACAAACAAACAAAAATAGCATTTCTTCTAATAAAATAGTAATTCTTGATTAATGTGCCATACATTAATAAATAACTTCCCCCAAATTAAACTATATATGAACGCTAACAGGTCTAGCATGGAATTTTTTTTTATCCATAATTTTGATCAATTTCTATATGACACATAATCAGATTTTATAAATTCTTTAACATAAAAATTAATAAATAAAAAATCAACTACATGTTAACATATATGAAAATTAGCCAAAACTATATAAATATGTATATAGTTTGATATCATATAATAATTTATTGTCTAGAATGATAAGACTAGTATTCATTGACTTCATTTTTTTAACATATATCACAGACCTATAACATTACGTATACATACGTGTACAACGAATTGAAAAGAACATACATAGGCACTGGGAATTGTACACCATATGATCATATGAGCACAACGAAGGACCCTATATATAGTTTTTGTTTAGAGTTACGTACACAAGACAAATACATTAATCATTAATGTACTGAGTACATTAAAAATCACAAGCAAAAGTTTATACTAAATCTAATCTAAGTTGGTGGCTGAGGACCATGCATGCATGCCTCACCAACCACCCCTTGCACTTCTATAAAACTTCATTTGGGATCTTGGGACTGGGGATTCTCCACTTCACCATTTACTTGTTCCAGCAACTGCAACAAATTATATAAATTAACACAGAAAAATTTAGTTGATCTCATATAGAGAAACATTATTTTGTGTTTTGTAAGTCTATGGAAATCTTTATAATTGTTGTGTTGAAAATATTATCTGTTTTAGCTCTCACAATTTTGTTTTTGAAAAAGTGTTTTGATAAATTAAGAAAAAAAAATATTTATAAACTAAAGTTATCCTATTAACTTTAACTTGTTGAGTCGTAATAATTTTATTTTTGAAAAAACGTTTTGGTAAATTAAAGAAAAAAATATTTATAAATTATTCTTAACTTCAATTTCTAAACGATCCAAGTAAGATTTTTAAGTATATCAAAATACTTTATATTATATATTATTAAATCAAAGGTCTTAAGCTCAGAAAAATTAATTTTGTAATGCACTTTTTTTATAGGTTTTTTTTTATTATTATTTATAATAAGAACCAGCTAACTTTAATAACTTTCAAGAAAAAAAAATCTAGGACAGTGAAGTTTTAGTTTCTTTTTTAAACAAAGAACTTAGTAAGGTATATGCTAGTGGTCCAAATACATTGCTTTATGCTTAACGACCAATTCAAAAACAGGAAAGATGCTGGCCACATAAAGTGCTAGATAATTACTATTATCAATCAATTAATTACACTCTCATTTAATATTGGTAGGCGAACTTTTAATAAATACTACAATTTACCTAACATACATTTAATGGAGGAAAAATCATTGAAAAAAAAGTAGTCCTAAATGTGTATCGGTTCAGTTATATATATGTACTGTTGTTTGCCGTTGTCATTCGTTCTAACTGTATAATAATGAATATTCCTTGCATCACGGAAATTTTTAATTATATTATTAAAATGTTTAAATGTAAAAATAATAATGCATATTTTATTATTTTTATTATTGATCAAGTATACACATAATTATGAGGCTGCAATGTTATTCTTACGAGTTTCCTTGCAATTGTTTCGACACGCAATTATGGTGTGAAGTTCAATCACAATAAATTTGCATGAAGCCACAATATCCTCTTATTTCTTTCTTCTGTCAAAATTAAACAAAGATTCAAATTTCAATATTCTATTTTAATAGATGTGTCTTGCAAGATGTTGGGGGAGGGGGAAGTGAAGCAATTAATGGTTGATGGTTTAGGTCAAAAAAGAAAGTGTGGTGTGAAAAATATTGTAAACAGGAGAAAATTCAATTGATTTTATAATTATAGTATCTTTTTATGTTCAGTGCAAAAAATATTATAATTTTATGTTACAATAACCGCAATCTGTATCACAAGAGCCTTTATAATTGCAACTGTTGTGATGCTTATAGTTACTTTTATTAACTCACCATTATCAGGTACATATATATATTGAAAGACAATAAGTTAAATTTAAAATTCAAAATTGGATGAAGAATATTATCTACTTGACATGTTTTATTCATATATTTTTCAAATGATAATAAAAATAAAAGAATCTAAAAGTAAACTTCTAATGCTACTTTTCATTTTACACATTAAATGGTAGAAAAAAACTTTTTTTTTTATAGCTCTCTAAAGCTTATCCTTTGGAAAATCCTCATTGCTTAATGTGTAATGCGCGATACCTTAAAGTAAGGCTCAACTTTCACCCTAAGATTTGCATTCTCCATCTTCACCTGCTCAAAAGCATCCATGATCCTGCAAAATTCATGACTTTTTAGTCAGCATATTGCAATTTTATTTGGCTATAGAAGGAAACAAGAGTTTATAACAATCACCCTTCCATGTTCTCTTCTTCGAAAAATTGTATCATCTTATTGACTCCGTTCAAAATCTTGAGAGCACCAATGCTGAAAAAAATAAGAAAATATTTCTCATGTGCTTGATATTATGAAACCAAAGAAAACCTATTTTTGAGATCCTCGATCAATTGGGGTCTTGGTGATGGAGAAGAAAAGTAGGTTTACCTTAACACACTTCCCTTGAGTCGATGAAGAAACCTAATCAAGTCTTCCCTTTGCTTTCCATCAATTTCTTGTCCACTATGTAAATGAACAATCCATCAATAACAGAAAATTAATATTAGAGATGTAAAATCTATTTGAATACAAAGTTAAAAATATTTTTAAAAAATTCTCAAATAACGTATTTCAAATTAATAAGCTCGTAGAATACTATTAAACATGCTAAAATTGTTATGAACACATTCTAATTCATAGATATAAGATGCTAGTATTATTAGAATTGACTATATAAGCCCCAATAGGCACCATGGATACTAACAATTAATTTTCATGTATAGAGACTTTGTTTATTAGAAATTTCAATTGAAATACTAAGATATATAACAATTTTCCACTAACTTATATTTATGCACTTAAATTACTCACAGATTTTGCTCAATCTCAGCAAATTGTCTAGTCATATCCGTGAAAAACAAACAAAAGACATCCCTAACAAAGTTCATATCGTCACTGTCTTGTAGCATCTCAAGCTGTTGAAACTGGGTTGGAATCAGATATCCCTGAAACAATATATTTGCATCAATTAATTGAATAAGTCTTATTATCTGTTATTTGTGACTTGATAGAAAGAACTTACAACCCAAATAATACTATAAAAAAAATTATCATATGAAAAAAAAATGAATTAAAAGAACCACATGACATATTATGTTTGAGAAAAGAAAAGAAAAACCTCATCGAAGAATGATTGTTTCATCACTACAATTTTGTTGTGCGTCTCATCGGAACTCTCCATTATTGTCTCAATTGCAGAAAACAAAGTTTCAACTCTCAATTTCAATAATATCACAGTGGTTGAGTAACATAGCAAAATTTATAGCTAGAGAAAGTAAACTATAGCTAGGGGCATGTCGTGTATGGGCGTGCATTAATTGTTAGCAAGAAAAAAAGTTCAAAAAAATCTAAGCAAGATGATAGTTAGTTGTAATAGATCCGGTGCATATAATTATTATAATCCTGTTGATGGAATATAAAGAATTATTGAGTGCAATATTTACAAGGTTTGAACTTTTATGAATCTGCCTAAAATGTTCAATTTGCTAAATCATAAAATATATTTGTCATTAAGAGACCATCGTGTGTATAAGCTTTTACGGAAAGCCGCGGCACGCTACTATGAAAAACCACCAAGTGAAAAATACCTATACAAATAATTTTCTCTAGATCATAAATTTAAGATTTTCCCAATTTTGTTTTAGTCAAGCCCCTAAAGCAAATGTGAAATTCGAAACAAAATATTTCTTGAAAATGTGTATCTTCCCGTTATAGTAGCAAATTTAATGCAAATATATTAAATTCTAATGTGTTTAGAGGATTAAGTAGAGGTTAATAATAGTTTAGTACTATGAATAATTGCCCAATCAAATGAGTTTTTTTATATAATATTTTTAATGCTGAAGTCTTTAAGATTTTCCTGTTAATTAGGATTTTAACTATGTTATTGTTATTGTTTGTTAATACATGTCCTATTCTTAGAGTCAAGTTTTAGGATTTATTTTGTTAACTTCTTTCCAATAGGTTGTACACATGGCTGAACCTCTGTAAAGGCATATAAATCACATTTTTCTTTGATCGAATTTAATAACAAAACATTTTCCCAAAATTTTTGTTTCCCCTTTTTTTTTTTTTTTTTATTTCTTGACAAATGATATCTAGTCACAAGGCCTAATCGAATGAAACTGCTGATCAATTCTTAGAGTGAAACTGAGTGTGAAAGAAACACTAAGAGGTTTAAGATGACTGCATACAACTTTTTTGAAGCATACCATACCTAAATATATTAGTTCATGCTTATGAAGAACTTATCAAAGGGGAGTGTTGAAATTTAATGGATATAGGTAGGGGTGAGCATTAAACCGACACCCGAACCGAACC